CACGGCCTCATTCCAATCAAAAAAACAATACTTTTCATGGGGTGAAATTCACATTGATTTTTTTTCTTCCAAACATGAATCACCAAACAGGATGGCAGCTCACTTGCCGGTCACAAACAGCTAGCTACCAAAGATTTCCCAAAGGATGCCCAAATCCAAAGTGCAATGACCAACATCACGCGGTTACATGCACCCTAGGGTGTAAGAGGATTATCTGAGTGGTTACAATTATTGTTTTTTTCTCTAATGGGCTCAATTTGCGCAACCACAGGAATTCTCTCAACAAGGCAAAGGGCTACTGCTGGAATGAAAGGTAAAATATTTCAGCAGGGGCTGAGGAATGTGTGGGATGCTCTTCGTCCTCTTGTAAAAGGTCAGAATTGAATTCTTAACTTCCTAGCACTTCATGAATCAACCAGAGACCTCAAAATTACTCCTAGTGTTTTTCTGATTTTGTTTCCTTGAAAAATTTGGCCTGCCCCTTCTTATAAATCCTACAGCACAGTTTGGTATGATCAATTTGATTCCGGAATGTAAAAGTAGTCAATAGAAAAATTTGAGTTTCCATTGTGAACGTTTTGGAGTTTACAAACATTGTATCTCTTTTTTGTGATATATAAATTGTGACTAAAAATTGAAGGTTTTTTTAAGATACAAATAGATAGAATTTTTGGATAATAAGCATGGGGAGAACTCCCCAACATCCAAAATGTTGAGTGTAGAGTTTTGACACGTAGGAAATCTTGCATTTGGTTATAAACAAGCTTGAAAATGATAACCAATCACCTCTGTTTGCACATCATTTTACTTTTTTGAAAGTTTCTTCCTGGAATCTTTGGAGGGAGGATGCTGACACTTTTGAGGTACAATTTATCACAGTATAATTATGTGCTATAGCTTGAGACCACCAATTGCATCAATGTGAAATTGATTACTAAAGAGTTGAACAAGGGCTGATGAGTAAAAAAGAGGACCTGAATAAGTGTCTGTGTATCCAAATTTATTAAACCCATAGCTTCCAAGTTGTTTATGAAGACATGAAAAATAATTAAAATTGCAAGCAAACTCACTCAAGTGCCATCAGTTGGTAAGCAGGAAAATGCAAAATAAGTGTAAGATCTTAGTCTTACATAGAAATCAAACTGGATATGGACGGGAAACAAGAGTAGCTGATGAAAGCTTTAGTAGTAATATTATTATTACTGAAAAGAAACAAAGGATACAAAGAGGAGAAATGAAGAGAAAGGAGAAGAAAAATAAATATTTCATTTATGGGTTCAGTTTTCTATAGATATCTACATCTAAGCAAGAATGCACTGTTAAGAGGTGTTCCAACATGGTGTACAAAATTTTGAAAACCAAAATTTGCACCTGACATTTTATTACTACATAATTTACAACAAACAAAACAAAGGTATACTTTGTAGCAGGGCTACAAGACAATCTTGAAAAAGATCATAGATGCAATCACTAAACCCCTCTAGAGCATGTGATACATATGAAGATAAATGTGATTAAATGAATGGAATGAGAAAAATAAATTTTTGCAACAGTGAATACTGAGAGACATATTGGTGTGGTTGCACTACAGTCAATGACTGTTCTCGCTGAAAAATAACCAATAGCATGATAATGAGGAGGCCAGAGAAGGGGAGGCTTCTATCACAACAGAACCCAGTCATAAAGATGTGGATGACAGGAATTATTGGCATAGGTCCTTGTTGGATGCACAAGCTGACAGCCAGATGTCCCCATTGTAGCCTTTTGTACCACCGCTGAATTAAATTTTCCTGGGCTATGAATGAGAGGATTGATTAGCAAGGGATGAGGTGGACTATTCAAGAGACAACCCACATGTTTGCCACATTCCTTCACGAGTGTCTTCATGGTAGGCAAGACAAATTGGTGCATTGATAAATGCACTCCCTCCCCCTTCTCACCCACCCACGCCCCCACCCCTCCAAAAGGGGCAGGAAGTAAGACCCACCCTTCTTTTTGGGCGGGCTTTGCTACACGCCCCTCTGTTTGCTGACATTTGAAACAGGAGGGGTGTGCAGTACAACCCACCCAAAAAAGGGCAGGTTGGCCTGCATGCCTGGTCTGGAGGGCCAGGAGGAATCCCTCCCAGCTATCAAGACTGTACAAGTCTCAATGGCCAGGAGGGATTCTGTCCAGTCTTTGAGACTGTGCAAGTCTCAAAGACCGGGAGAATCCCTCCCAGACATTGAGACTGTACAAGTCTCAATGGCCAGGAGGGATTCTGTCCAGTCTTTGAGACTGTGCAAGTCTCAAAGACCGGGAGAATCCCTCCCAGACATTGAGACTGTACAAGTCTCAATGGCCGGGAGGGATTCTCCCGGTCTTTGAGACTTGCACAGTCTCAAAGAGGAGTGCCTCCCGGCCATTGAGACTTGTACAGTCTTGAAATCCCTCCTAGCCGTGAAGACTTGTCAGTCTTGATGGCTGGGAGGTATTCCTCCTGGTCTTCAAGACTTGTACAGTCTCAAAGACCCGGTGGAATCCCTCCCGGCTATCACGACTGTACAAGGCTCAATAGCCAGGAGGGATTCCGCCCAGTCTTCAAGACTGTACAAGTCTTGAAGACCAGGAAGAATCCCTCCCAGCCATCAAGACTTGTACAGGTCTTGAAGGCCGTTGTGGTGAGACCAATCAAGGTCATACATAGTACAAAATAGTTATACATAGTATTTTTTTATGATGTTACAACCTGATATACTTATGTTACATAATTCATTATCTTGTATCCAGTTCAGAAGGTTACAAAATAGTATTTTTAGACATAGTTTGGTTACATAATATATAGTACTACATAGCTACAACATACTACATATCACACATCTTAAGATACAAATTAGTCTTCCCTCAGTACCTACTTTCTATGATAATAATCTTTCAGTAAACATTAGTTATTTCATCACAGAAACCAATTAGTCAGACTTCATATACAATTTCATTCCATACTTCTGCTTGCTTCATCCCAGATATTGGTTATCTCATCTCATCTCATCATTCATCCTCTTCTTTTCATACAACATTTATTTCACACATCAATTATCTCATACTACAATTATTTCATAGTAAATTTATTTCATACTACATTTATTTTATTCTACATTTATTTCATACTACATTTGTTTCATGTATCCATCTCATTTCAACTCATGACTCATTGCTTATATCACCTACATATATATTTCACCACACAGATTTCTCATCTCACCTGAGAATATTTATTTCAGTCCTGATTACCTCATTTCTTTTGCATTATGTTTATCACAAAAAGAAGTTACTTCATATTTTCTCCTTTTCAACATGTTTATTTCACACTACACATTTGTCAGGCACATTTATTTCATAACCAATTGTCTTTCAGATACAACTTATTTCATACCATCTTCTTACTTCAGCTGATATCTTACCACTAGTATCTGATCAAAACCACCCACATGTATATAAAGAATACTCTTTACCACTTACTTTGTTCCCCATGCTTGCATTAGAGAAGTAAACAGATAATTACTTAGCAGACATCACTTACTAGTAGTTACCAGAAGTAATTATTATTGATTTCCCCCCCAGAAGATAAGAAATTGACCCAGAAACCATTACCCCCCAAAGCCTCATCCTTACCAGAATTTCCCACATCCTCAATATCTCAGCAGGTGACTTGTACAAGACATCAGTAATAAATCTCATACTAAGATTACCCACAGAAATAGCCACACCTTTTCTTTAATTCTTAGTGTAACTCTCTCCCAAGCCTTGACAAGAGGGCAGCTTCATCAGCATCCAAGTCTTAAACTCACATTTCCCCCCTGTGTAGTTGTTCTTTTCCCCTCTAAGCTCTTTTCTTTAGCTTGAAAAGTTCCACACTGGGAGGAAAGGGTCATTGGCGCGCTGACGTAAGCAAAACAGTCCAGAGTGTTTTGCTTACATCAGCCTGCCAAGACCTCTTGGGTGGTTGGTGTGCAATCCCACCTGTCGGTCTTCTGAGGGGCGGGTTTGATTGCACACCCCTTTGCAAGGGATGCTTTGCAAAGTCAGGCTTCCGAGGGGGCCTGCCAATCAAACCCGCCCCTCAGAGACGGGCGGGTGGGATCACACACCCCTTTTGGAGGGGCAGGGGCGTGGGCAGGCGGGAGGGGGGAGGATGTGCCTTTATCAACACACAACAAATTTTCAAGGGCTGCGATGAATGATAAGCGCAAGCCATCCCCCCTTGTACACAAACCAGCTGCAGATTGGTGTGCGCGCCTGCACACCATTGCAGAATGTTTGCAGGCAGGCATGCTACTTGCCTGCAGGGGGTATACCCTGCAGGTTGGCATGCCGGCCTGCACACCAGATTATATGCAGTCCTAAACGCATATTTATATGCATTTACGACCTGAGCTGTCCCATAGGACCCAGGAATGGGTCCTATGGGACGGCCCCATTGATTTTTTTTTTTTTTTACAAAAAAAGAATAAAAAAAACTAGCCCCCTTGGCCTAGAGAGGCCAAGGTCACACCGCCGGTGTAAAACTCAAAAGTGGTTGTGAAAACCCTTTTGCTGAATGGAGAAGGGGATGATGGAGTTGCAAGCTCTGCCCTTCTTTGCTATCAGAAAACAAGACTACCAAGCTTATCTTGGCAGTTATGTGATAGAGGATAGTTCAAGATGAAGCTTCCAAGTGATGTGTATAAGGGTCTGAAGTTATAAATGAGTGATGATTATATTGATAAAGCTGTTGTTCAAAGCTTTAAAACCAAGGCACGGAGGTCTGGGAGTGCTATGCTTCAACCAGTAATGGTATGTGAGGCAGGTTATGGGCACTTGACACTTGTTATAATGATGAACGTGTTATTTTTGTATGTTGAGTTTTTCTCAGTTCTGTCTCTCTCTGACCTTCATCTCTTTCTAGTCATCAAAAATCAGACCAGTCTATAATTATCAAGTAGCTTGTTTTCTGTTGTTATTGAGCCCCTTCTGAGTCAAATACTAAGTAATTAGCTTTTCTCAACAACTCATGTCTCTACAATGATTTCTTCTCTTTCCTGATAATTTTGTTTGATTTATTAAAGACTGGTCACTTAGAATTAACGACTCTAAATGTTTGTGAATTATGAAATGTTTTCTTTTGATTAACTCATCTGGCTTGTCTAAAAGAGACTGAGAAGCCTTGACCAGTTTGTTTCTTCCAAAACCACATGTCTCTTTCTCTCAGCTTTTATTCATTATGGTTTTATATTCATTTTCATTTCTACCACATTTTGCTCACTTGTACTTAGTCTATTCAAACATGGCTTCTTACTTGTGAATGAAAACTTATTGGGTCTTTCACTCTTTTTCCGTGAACCTTTCCCAAAAATGAAATTCACCTTCTTGGCCCTCTGCCTCCTAAGTTCTTCAGTTTAAAAATTTCAACATTGTATTTCAATATAATGTTTTGTTATTTCTGTCACTTGTATATAATCTGTAATGTGGGTTGAGATGATCTGGTCCTCTGGTGGGATGATGGAGGGAATAACTGGCAGGCAGAGGCCTCCTTATATAGACAAATGTGAGGGATTTTAGCCCCAGGGTATAGGCTTTTGAGGCATTTTAGCTGTCCTGAAGCTCCAATGAGGGATTTTAGCCGGTCTAATACCTGCAGGTGAGGGAATTTGGCTGGTGAGAGCACTGCCTTGAGGGAATTTAGCTAGCCAACAAGGTCCTACTACAAAGGAATGCATGTGTGCCTACAAAGGAATTCAATATGCACTATGTGCCAATAAAGAAATTCAATACAACACAAAGGGATTCAATATTCAATATGCATCCAGTATGCAAAACAAGCCATACTGAGAGTAAAGAGTCCAAAAGATATCCCGTGATAGGTTGAAATCCGCGTAACTTCTAAACTATGAGAGATATGGGGTCAGTTGTAGTGAGTGACTAGGGGTATTTTAAATGAGAAATCCATTTCTGATGCTAATTTTACCATATCTATAATATATAAAGAGATAATAATAAATCTTTATATTTTCTGCGTAGAAACACAGTATTATTTACCACACCGGGAGGAACCCCTCCAGCAAGTGTCTGCATGCCAGCTTGGCGGCAGGGTTTCCTCCCGGCAAGCTGGTTTTCAAACCAGCTTGTTGGAAGGAACCCTGTCAGACACTGAGACACTAGCCCAGAGGTCTACAATAGAATGTAACCCCCTTGGGTTACATAATAAATATTATTATATGTAATCTTTAAGTTAATAATTATACAGTAATGTCATTCTCTTTTACATGTATTATTTATGTTAATAAAAATTGTGTAAATTAATAAAGAGTTAATTTACCTCTTTCATGAAAATAATATTCAAGTCAAAAAAGATAATTATCTCTTGGGTGTATCCAAGAGATGATTATCCTGTTTATCTCTCTTGTGTGTATGATTATTATGTTTATCTTCCTTGTGTGTATGATTATTATGTTTATCTCTATTGTGTGTATGATTATTATGTTTATCTGCATTATGTGTATTCTCTGAAATAAAATATATTCAGCTAGCATGCTGTGAATATCCTGACACTTCCCCAAGGAATAGTGTAACAAGAAGGGGACTGCACCAGTCCCAGCAGCAGTTTGACCCCTGCTTTGTAATATTTAAGAGGATGACTCTTCCCCTGAGATTCATCCCTTAGACAATTATTACCATACAAACCCAAGAACATTACTAAATATTGCATCATAATAACAACAATGAAACGGATGCGATGCATGCATCGGAGTGAGCAATGCGGGGCCCCGCATTGGAAAAACCGATGCGGAGAATCGGCATCGCATCAATTTACCGATGTGATGCCCAATGTTTTGCAGCCAATGCCGATGTTATTGGCAGGCATCGCCTGAACCTCCCTCCGGAGTCCCCTGACATGAGGAGGGACTCAGGAGGGGTTGTAGTATGCCTGCGAGTCCGAACTCCTACTCAACTCTTAGCCATGAGTCTCAGCAAAAAAAAAACCATGTCAAAAGTTGAGGGTCACATACATCATTCAATATGTGCTTGACACTGCCCTTGACCGTTTGAACTTGTTCCTTAATTTGGGAGACCAATTTATGATGATAAACGTTGACCACTTGATTCTTGATTTTGGCGACTTCACTCTGCAGACCATCATCGAGCTTCCTAAACTCTTTCACAACTAGTATGCATACATCAAAATGACTCGATTGAAAATCAGCATATAAACCAAGGATTCAGAGAATAACCTTGGCCTAAGCTTCCTATCCAGTCAACCGATCACCTTTGTGCTCACCGGACACTATGCCACTTTCCTCGAGATCCCCGTTGACGAACGAGCGCGGATCTTAGCCGGCTGGGCTTTGTCA